ATTAAACACACGCTTCTGTTTCCTGGAGCCGACTGGGCTTTGAATAATGCTGTTTAAGAGTTGTGATTCAGCTGACTGATTACAATGGATGATGAAAACAGAATGGATTGGTATGAAGCCAGCTTTCCAATTTTAAGCTCCAGCCAAGTGTGCTAGAAGTCCCGGGTTGAATACTGAAAGACTTGCTGTTATCACTACTGATGCCAAAACACCTTTTGTTACTACTGCTCTGCCCTTTCCCCCTCCATATGTCTGTGTGTGTGCAGGGTCGGCCCATGCAGCGAGAGTTAGTACAACTTTTGCATTTATTTCAGCAGGAGCAGATCCTTGGACAGCAAGTTGCTTGTGGCAGGAATTCTATTTACAACATACATTCGTATAGTGCCCAGTACAATGGAGACAGCCCAGACGTTACGACTGTAGATGGAAACTGGTAGTGGAAGTACCCATGATTTTGATGCAGAACTAGAGATTGCCTCGAACCAACATCCCAAATGCGAACACACCCAAACACAGTGAATCAGCCACATCCTAAACCGGAGCCAGAAGTGACGGCTTAACACAAGCAGGGCACAGAACCTTTGGGGTGCTGAAAACGCAGAAAGTTTGGTCCGTGTGGATCAAACGAGGATAAAGACTGCAGGGTTGTAGGCAGCTTTAAGTTTACCCTGCCCATCTTCCGAAGTCCTAAGCAAGAGACTTCTTAAAAAAACCCCAAAAAACCAAAACCCCAAAAGTATCAGTGGCCTGATACTGAACTCAGCTGAGATGGCAACCTGAATAGTGGTGCATGGAAAGGTGCATACATCACATCAGCTATCTGCTCAGCACGAGTTGCTTGATTCTCTGTCCACAGAACCAACATCATCACATTTAATGCCTTTAGACTCCCACGCATTCATTATGCAGTTGAGCATGGGCCACTTGCTCTGCCATATCACTAAGGAAACTAGAAGAACTACTACAGAACAGGAACAACCTGCCAGATGTACTCTTGAAGCAGAATGTCATGCAAATGTTATATTAAGTTGGCCACGTTTGAAAAAAAAATATGAGGTGGGGGCTGGGGGAGGGGAGAGGAGGAAGGGAAGAATTTTTGGTTGCCCTATGTTTCTGCTTTTTGAAAGGGTCAGTAGGAAGCTGTAGCTCCTTTTTATGCAAGGTGTGAAAGTGGTATATATTTTAAAATGTCTTGTTCAAACAAGGTCTTATTTATAACACTTTGGGGAGCAGAAGGATCAGGTTTTTCTGTTACTTACGGTTTCTAATTAACCAGACAGTACTCAAAGCATCAGATTAGTCTAGAATAATGGTCCCTACTTCAGACAATTCTAACAACATATTAAAGCCAGGGGATGCCGACTAGAGGCACTTGCATAGCTGTCATAACGTACAAGAGACAAAAATGTCACTTGTGTGACTTAATGGCATCAGACCTTACACATGTGCCAGTCTGGGGGGTTTTAGATGAGTTTGCATCATTGCAAACTAAACTTCATCTGGGGGGCGAGCTGCAGGGGGCTGGGGTCCTTTCCTCCACAGTGGCAGTGCCCCCTGAGGCCGCTCGGGCAGGCTGCTAGCAGGCCGGGTGCTGCCCCAGCTCAGAGGCAGCACCCAGCCCAATCCAACTGTTTCCCGAGCCCGCTCGCTGGAAGCCCACAGGCTCGGGGAACAGTTAAATTGAGCCAGGTGCTACCTATGAGCTGGGGCAGCACCCAGCCCACTAGCAGCCCACCTGGGCAACCTCGGGGGTCACTGCCGCTGCAGAGGAAAGGACTGGGGCCCCCAACAGGTCAGGGCACTGGCAGCCCACCAGCAGCTCGCCCACCAGTCGGGGGCAGGCTCTGGGAAAAAAGGATCGGGGCCCTCACTGTAATGCAACAGAAAATTGAAATGGTTTTCAATTAAAAACCCACCATTTACATTTAGGGGGCATACACTAAAAACCCTGAGGCCTCAGCCCTCGCCTGTCTTGTGTACAAGTGCCCTAGGCTTATTTTTTCTTCCACAGAAATATTTTCCCAAAGTTTTCCTATAAAATCCACATGCCTACAGAAAGCAAAAGCTTTCCTTAGACATGAAGAATCATAGGGAAGCTAAAAAGAGAGAGGACTGTCCACTCTCTCTCAGAGAAGCTTATTCTCGTCCAGCCAAAAATACCCAACCCTTATGGGACAGGAGAATGGAAGATGCTCCCCAGAAAATAGTTGTTCATACCAAAGGCACTCAGATGCCCATGGTGCTTACCCTCTAATAAGTGCTTGTTACCTCTCAGCTTCATGTTCTTGTTCTTGAAACTGATTAAAATGCAGTGGGAGACATACCCAAAGCCCTCCAGATAAGGAGCAACTGCCCTAGGTCTCATCTGCATCCGAGATGGAACCAGATGCCAATTCATTTACGTGGGAGATGGAGAACAGAACACCCGAAGCAGAGACCACAGTGCATTCTGGGATCAGAGAAGCAGGGGAGCACTGCGTGATGGGGAATCTGTGCTCCAAATGCTAATCAAGCCACATTTACACACACCCAGCTCAGCATTTAATCAGACCAGTTCTAAATCTGGATTTACAGAGGACGTCCCCCCCCCACACACACCAGAACTAAGCAGAAGTAACGTTTAATAGGCATCTCGGGCTGTACGCTCCCCGGTCCCACTGTGGGAGGCCTATTTAAACTTGATTGGCTAAAACTTGGTTGCCGTGTTAGGGAATGCTGAGGCAAAAGACCGAGTCAGAGGGGGTATGGGCAACATTTGAACAATGGTCAAGGGTTCATCACAGCGTCCAGCCCGTTGCAGCCCTGACCACAAGTGCTGTCATACTTTTCCCAGGATAACTGGTGGAAGTCCTCCCCCCCACAACGGTTACAAACACTCCAATAATTGCCTTAAGTCTGTTAAAAGACTATAGTAAGATCTAGAAAAGTCATGCTAAGCTGAGGCTTATTCACAACAAGTAAAAATCCAAAACCCTGATGCTGCAAGCTACCTATGGTTTCTGAAGAAACCATGAGATATCCCATCAGTATGTCTGCTATCCATAGAAATTTCAAGCTGGCTCTTAAGTGTCTGGTTACTCCCTAACCTTACGTTTTCCTGATTATCAATCAGTTTTTTTGAGATGTTCCAAACCAGATAACCCCTTGTCAAGAGAAAAAAAGACAATGATTTACACTATTGAGAATGCTTGGAAGAAGCTGAACTGAGGGTATAAAAATCTGTAAAAAAAGCAGCAAAAGTGTGTGCGCTGACACCATCCACTGCTGTTCTTGGGAAGCTGGAAGAAGCAGCTAGTCTCCCTTCAAGGATCGTGCTAAGAACTTTACCTGTCGGCATTGCAACCCGAGTGCCTTGGACTGGTGAAATCCCACAGCTCGCTCTCTCTCTCTTCTCTCTAGGCAGAAATTTCTGAACCTGAACTGTATTAGTTAAGCTTGAGCTA